AAAAAAAATGTCCTTGTAGTGAGACAACATACTGACTATTAATAATTATAAAATTCTCCTTTTTTCCAAATTCAGAGGAAGATGAAGAAATTTTTGAGGACAATCCAGAAGAATATATCAGAAGAGACATTGAGGGTTCAGGTACAGAGAAGAATTTTAATTTACAGCAACATGATGCTGTATAATGCTGTGTGCGGCATGCTTTATGTTGAAAAGGATAACCATCAAGTTGAATTATTTTAGATGTGGACACCAGACGTCGTGCAGCCTCTGATCTTGTACGTGGATTGTGTAAATTCCATGAGCAGCGGGTCATAGAAATATTTTCTCACCATGTAGTGGCGATGCTTCAGGTAACTTTGAAATCTTCTCACTGATTGATCATTCTAACTGTGGTAAAAAAAAATTGTGGTACATTAGGAAAGTGTTTCTGGTCTAGCCAAGGTTCTTAATATGTTAGATCCTATTGAACAATGTTAAACAAGACATTTTAGTCTGCTCTCATGATTTCTGAATTTACTGTTTCTTAATGACTTAATAAATAAATGTACATAGTTTCTTTTCTTTAATAGCAATATCAGTTGAACAGTGAGAACAGCTGGAAAGCTAAAGATGCTGCAATATTTCTTGTCACATCACTGGCATGCAAGAAACAAACTGCTAAGGTATTTTTGACATTTATTTGTACCAGAGGAGAAAAAGGAAAATGAAATGTTAAGTGCTGTATCAGGGCCTATTTTCAGATAATAGTTCTCCAAGGAGGAGAGCAGTTTCAAAAACAAATCTTATCAAAAGCAATTATTATGGTTTTCCCATATCTGTTGAATAATAGCAGAATGCATTAAGTTGTATGATTAAGAATATTGAATAAAATATTGGGTTTTTTTTTTGGTTTTTTTGTTGAACTAAAACATGAATTATTTAAATCTCTTCTGCTCAGCATGGAACAACACAAGCCAGTGAACTTGTTAATTTACACAGCTTTTTCACTGAGAATATTTTGCCAGAACTGCAGATAAAAGACAGTAAGTGTGAAACAATATTTCTGTTGTTAGAAACCACTCAACCTCTACACCTTGCTATAAAGCTGGATTTTAGTATGTCGAAAGTAGCCAGTCTTTGGTGCTAACTACATAGGATCACTTATGAACTTAAAGTGAATGGCCTAACTCACAATGAGTCTTTCCATGACTCAGTGGTTTAGGCCTGTATCTGAGAAGTCATGGGTCTGAATTCTGTCTGTGAAGTATCTCTCTATTTTCTTTGCCCATACTTGGGGAATTCTGAACTTTTCATCTTTTACATTCATCGATATACTTTGTGACTGCTATTTGCACAAGAATTTGTAACTTGTTAGATTAACGCTCTGAAGGTCTTTTACTTCAAATATTCATTTAGCTTTGATATCTTTCTTTCTTCAGTTGATCTTCATCCAGTGTTGAAGGCTGATTCCATTAAATATGTTATCATCTTTAGAAACATGGTAAGGTCTAGAATATAGAATGGCTTTATGTCTCAACTTGCTAAGTGTGATCACATTAGGCCACATCAGCTTCTACTAGTATGACTTAGTACATTCTGCTCCTTTATTCTCCAAATTAGGAATTTTAGACATTTATCAAATCAACATGTTTCAAATAGCTAAATTTTTGTACTATTATCATAACAACCTGTTTCCTCCATTGTTTTTCAACTTTTTTCTTTTGCAAACTGTCAAATTCATGGCTATAGCACCAGAACAGCCAATAATTATTATCATGTGCATCGTTGCCGGACTAATCTAAAAAAATTTACAATTCTTTATCAACGTCCAAAGATCTGGAATTCCCTTCCTGTTACAATCACTTCATTGTCAAGTTTTCCCAATTTTAAGAAAAAACTGGTAGAGTTTTTAGTAAAATAATTACTGAACTGGCAAAGCCGCACACTGTTGCTCTATTTATGTAACCGTATTGTTACGTACGAGGTGGCCTCAACTAAAAGCCTGATGGTTCCTAGAGGTCACCTCGCCTCACATTAAAATATTTATAAATACTGCACATTAAGTAAAAAGGCAAAATAAACAGAATGAATGAATGAGTTATTGTTTCTGTCACATCAGCTTTCCCGTGAAGTATTAGTAGCTTGTCTGCCATTACTCGTCAAGCACTTGACAGCCAAGAGCCATGTTGTGCACAGTTATTCAGCAAACTGCCTGGAGAAACTCTTTACTCTGAAGAAACCGGGTGGAGGAACTCCGTATGTGTTCGTTTTTGTGTTATCTTTGTTTGTTGTCGTGTAAACCTTTAGTTACCTTTTTACCTTATGAAATACAGCATATGCAATTGACTAAATCTTTTGATACAGTCAAAAGCTTTTGAATGGAAAACAATCAGTAACATGAGGGGTTATAAGACATTTTGGTTCTTAAGCTGAACAATCATGCATCATTGCCATTGTAATGCCTTGCTATTAACAGTTATATTACAGAGATGAAATAACTGGAATATTTAATGACTGTAAAGCTGTTTGAAACTA